ATGCAGTTGTCATAACTTCAGAACACCCTTCCACCTCGTTGACCTCCTCCTAGTAACGGATAGCGTACTGGTGGAGGGTTTCCCCTTCTTTGCGTCTGAGTGTCAACAAGGATCCAATATCCTTGGGGCGCTTACTCCCTATGATAAACCGGGCTGAGAATTGTCTAGTTAACTCTTTCCAAGACCCAATACTGTTGGGAGGGAGAGTCTTGAACCATTTCATATCGGAGTCTCCCAGGCTCATAGGGAAAAACCCGACATAGTAGTACAGGGACATCATTTGCTTGTATTGTCTGAGGTGAACTTCAGGATCGGATCGCTCGTCGTAAGTTTTGAACCGTGGCGCTGTGAATTTTTTTGGTACCTCCATTTCTCGAATATCTCTAGTGAAAAGGGATTGTAAGGTTTCGTCGTCCGCTTCACCCTGGACAACTTTACTCCTTTTGGAGTCCAGATGAACCCTGAGGTCAATTTCCTCCTTGGGGGGGGGGGGGAAACCTTCCCAAGTCCCTGTGCTGGTTGATGGGGCGCCTCCTGCCCAGGTGTCGAGGGGAGAGGGGAGAGTCCTGCTCAGACTCCTCCACGCCCCCTTGCCTAGACAGTCCCCGGCAAAGGTAATCCCAAGCCAAAGGCCTCGCCTTCTTGGTGCGACCACGCGGAGAATGTTTCCTGGCTCTTTGACGCTTTGGGGCTCTGAAACTTTCAGCCTTGTCGTTCAAGTGATTCCGCAGGTCTTCGATTTCCACTCCCTTAACGAAGCGTGCGTGGAAACAGAACGAATCCCTGGACCCTTCGCCGGCGGGGTGTAAATTCGTTAAGGTGGCTTAGGAGGTTCATGTTATCCTTCTCCAACTACCGCAGTCGATCTCTGAACTTTTCCTCGATCACTTCCGACAGTTGACGAGCCAAGGGGGCGGACCCCCTTGACCTGATGCCCACACTGGTTTGAGGGTCATGTTGTCTTGGTTGGGAGAAGATGTTCATGTCATCACCGTCACCATGACCCTTTGTCCTAGGGTCAGGAAAAACTTGTGATTCTAGGATTTTCTGTTGGTGGTCTTTCCCTCACTATCGAGTATTCACCATGGTTGCTATTTCTATAGAAAAACCAGGGGTGTTCGTTTCCCACAAACGACACCAGATTATGCGTATTGAATTTCGCACAACAAGAGAAACAGAAACAGAAGTCTTTCATGGTGAACTTAGGATCATTTAGGTAGTGATTTCGACGGGATGAAAGCTCTACACTCCGGGATGGAATATCCCTAAAGGTGAGTTGATCCGCCAGAAAGCAGGTTTTAGCGATAAGGGGTAGGTTGAGAGGTACAAAGGGACCTTAAGGATTGGTGATGAGTTGATATTGGGTCGTCGGGCCAGTCCTGGGACACTGAGAAACGATCCTGCGATAGAAAAACGGGTTAGAAGGGTGCCGGAGTGCTCTCCGGCATATCCCCTCCGACGATCAAGTCAGTTTCTTGAGGATGGGGAAGAAGAAAGCACTATAGTTTTGTTTGAGAATTTTTTGCATACCTTTACAATGAAGGTTTCAAGACTATTTATACCTTAGAAGCTCATGATTGTTGACTGTCTACTCAACAGTTATTCGTCAGAGATGGGATAGTGTGCTCCCTTACTTTTATGGGGGAGTGGGTTTTTGTCTTAACTGGTCGTGGTGCTAAGAGCCAAATATTTACTCCTTGGAACACCGAGTAGTCAATTTCCCTCCTCGGGAGGAATGTATTAAATGCCCTGGTATGGGCATCTTTAATGCATTTCACATCTCGCCTCCCATGCATTAATTGCTATCTCATCAAAAAAGGGATTTATTAAATGCTTGCTTGCTTGAGTCGAATGTCAGTGGGGGTATCCAAGTCTTTTTACATCTGTCACCATCTGTTCTGTCTCAAAAATGTCCCAGCAGATAGTAATTAGTCCGTACAACAATCTTAGCTCGAAGTTAATTATCCCGAATTAGAAAGATATGCATTGAAATAAAAGCACAAGACTTCTTGTAATACCCTATAGATGTTGGTTGCCAAGCTGGAACGCACACAGGAAAATAGATAACCGGGGAAGAAAATAAACTTGTGGGTCTTGCAAGCAAGAAGACTGAGAAATGGTTTGCGAATCTTGCGGGTCCCATTGTTCAGAAAAAGAAGACTGAGACCGGCAACAGTATGAAACCACCACCCAACTTTTTTTTTTTTTTTTCGGTAAGTACCTCCCAACTTCCTTGTCTTCAACCACTCCCATCCCAATCAACGCTGTATTTTCTATTTAAACATTCCATATTTACTTCACAGAATACCCAGTGCAAAAATCACCCACTGCAACTTCATAATACCCAGAACCCATCCATTTCATCACATCTTCCATTACAAACACCACTCTTCCAATTGAATTTCAGGTTCATGTTTTCGTCATCATCCTTCACCAGCCTATTGGTGCTACAGAAACCGAAAGCTTCTGTCATTTGAGACAATAGCAATGGGTTACTGGAAGCTGCTTTTCTTCGCTTCCCATATCCTTATAAGCTTTCTTGGCCTCAGCAATGGGCAGACGACTATTTTGTGGAAATACTCCTGTGAAGACAATGGTACTACCAGCATGTATGAGTCAAATAAGAACACCCTTCTCTCCTCCGTCGCTCCCAATATTGGTAGAAATGGCTTCTACAATTCCTCTTTTGGCCAAAACTCTGATAGAGTTAACACAATTGCCCTATGTCGGGGAGATGTTAACCTGGATATCTGTCGTAGTTGTGTCAATGACTCTACCCATGCGCTCTTGCAACTTTGTCCAAACTCCCATAGGGCAATTGCATGGTATGATTATTGTATGTTAAGGTTCTCAAATTACACCATATTCCACCAATTAGATAATGGCCCAGCTACTGCTCTGGTGGGCGGAAGCAATATAGCAGATTCAGAAGTGAATCAGTTCTATCAGGCACTACAGATCTTGTTGGACAGACTACGGGAACAAGCAAAATCAGGAAATTCTTTGCGCAAGTTTGCTAGTGGGAGCGTTAGTTCCCTTCCCTTTCAAACAATATATGCACTTTCGCAGTGCACCCCTGATTTATCTGACATCCAATGTGACGAGTGCCTAAATGGGGCTGCTCAAAAAATCCCGCATTGTTGCAAAGGAAAAGCAGGGACGAGAGTTCTAAGACCCAGCTGTTTTCTTAGGTTTGAGTCCGCGATTTTCTATAATGAAACTCCGGCTGCACCACAATCATCGCCACCACCACAGCAACTGCCACCACCGCCGCCACCTCCAGGTATGGCTCTGATTAGGTGTTTATGATTAGATTGAATAGTTGAAGGATCTCACGTAGGCCGTTTGTTTTGAGTATTAGAGTAGTATAAGAAAGTGATATTAAGAAAATAGTACGTGAGACTTATCTTATATGTTATTTGTTTGACATTTTATAGTCAGTATTATTTTTCGGATCATAATACTGACCTGCTATGAACAGTAGCTATAATACCTTGTAAAAGGTCTTAATGAATACCACTTAAGGGGTGATATTATATTCTTAGTATAGGTATTATAAATTAAAAAGACCGAAATGCCCTCTGATACAATTTTCATATAAAAGTTTAGTCGCAATTTTTGATTTTTGATTTTTGATTTTTTAAAGGTTAAAATTGTCTTTTACATTTGTTAGCCATAATTGTGACTTTTTAAAGTAAGTATTACATAGATAATATTTGTGATAAATAAACAAGAAAAATGATAAGATTATAATTTAACACCGGGTATAATATACTATTAGATCAAAATAAAATAAATATAAAATCTTATATCACCTAAATTTTATATTCGAAACAAATATCCTTAGTGGATACAACTATTTCCTCCTATCCTCAAAAAGTACAATGATATTGGAAAGGTTTCTCACTCAGTTAGTCTTAAAAATATGGCGAATTTGAGGTAACATCGATGATCGACCTGACAGGCATAAAAATGTCAAATATTTTTTTTTATCTGCAATTTAAGCTGAAATAAATAAATTCAAAGGCCAAGGACAATAGGTTAGTTTACATGCTTTGTTCAACCGAGAAATTCGACACACTATGATGAGTGATTTTCAGTAATCTATATAATAATTTGACCAACCATCACCACCCGCCACACGTAGTCATCCACCACCGCTGCCACCCATTGTCGACCCCACCCCCAAAAACACAAAGGGCATTTTTAAGAGTGCCTAAAACATATTTGTCCCTTTCGGAGATGTAGTGGTGGTCACAATGAATTCAACATCCCAAACCTATCATTAACATAATGAAAGCACATTTTTGGAATTTTGCAGGCAAAGACAATAGCAAAACTCGAACTATCTACACTATTGTTGTTTCAACTCTCATCTCTCTGATCCTTATCATTTTCATTTATATCTTTCGAAGAAAGAGGAGACAATGGAAGCATAGGAAGTCAGAACAGAAATTTGACAGTAAGTTTTTTTTTTTTCCTGATTAATGAGAGTACTGAAACTGATTTTTCATAGTTTATTTGAAAGTTAGGCCCCAATTATTGTGTCATAAATGATCATTACCTAGAACATACGGGAGATACAACAATTTCAAGAAAAATGTTACTTGAACTTAAAAAAACATAATTGATTTGTTGATTTGATAATTACAATTATTGAATAAATAGTAGGTCCTAATAAAATAATAGGACTGACGAAGTCAATTTTTAAATTCATGTAGCACTGCTCCAATTTCAAATATTGTCAACCATGTATACTAAGACTTAATTGGTTGACTTAATTTGTGCACAACCATTAGATTGATAGTAGGTTTCGGTATTCGTTAGGTCCCAATTTAATGATTGTCATGAATTAAATCAACAAATTATATCAACAAATGAGGTGTCAATAGTATCATTGGTATACTGATCAGTGTGCTCTAGTTTATACTTGTCAAAATCATTGATTTACAACAGGAGAATGTCTCTTGAAATATCTACAATGAACTAGTAGTTAATGCATGAAAATGTAAGAGAGGAATGGGTTCAGAAGTTCATATATCTATCATCAAGGATTAAAAAAAAAATAGTGACACTAGTCGAATATATGATCTATCAAATATATGATCTATGTTTGCTGTAATGCATAGTTATTGTCATATACTACTCTGATTTGGTTTAGCACAATATTCACTTCCAAATTTGAAGACGAGGGTGAAATCACCAGCATAGAAACCTTGAAGTACAACTTTGGTACAATAGAAATAGCTACAGATAACTTTGCTGACAGTAACAAGCTTGGAAAGGGTGGATTTGGGGCTGTTTACCAGGTAATACAATACTTTCCCTTCTGAAAATTTATCTAGTTGCATCAAATAAAAAAATATTGTTGCTTAAGAGTGTGAATTTATTTAATATTGGTTTTGATATATTTATAGGGTATGCTTAAAAACGGGAAAAAAATAGCAGTGAAGAGGCTGTCCAAGGATTCCATACAAGGTGAAAATGAGTTTAAGAATGAAGTGTTATTGTTGGTAAAGCTTCAGCACAGGAATTTGGTTAGACTCCTAGGTTTCTGTCTAGAAAGAACAGAAAGGCTCCTCATATATGAGTTTTTTCCCAATGGAAGTCTTGATCGTTTCATATTTGGTATGTAGCCTCCAACAATCCTCCTTTTCTAAAGTTCTTATCTTTATTAACTTAATCTAGAATACAAATCTCCTTACATAGATAAAATGACAAATAGAGAAAAAAATTAAGACATTCAGAACAATTTGATATCCTTATCTCAAATTTGTTTTGCTAATATTTAAACAATCTCTGCCTAATTCGTGTGCTTGGTTGGAGTTGTAGATCCAACAAAACGAGCACATTTAGATTGGGATATGCGCTACAAAATTATAGGAGGCATTGCTAAGGGACTTCTTTATCTTCATGAAGATTCTCGACATCGAATCATTCATCGTGATCTCAAAGCTGAGAATATTCTATTAGATGCAGAGATGAACCCTAAAATTGCGGATTTTGGAATGGCAAGACTTTCTGTGCTTGATGAAACTCAAGGCATTACAAGTCGTATTGCGGGGACTTAGTAAGTATGAAATGATTCTTAACTTTTGTTTCTCTATCATTGAATAGCACAAAAGTTTTATAAAACTTTGCAATTAATCTTGAATATACAAATTAAGTGGTTCTAGAAAATGTCCAAGGAAAAACACAAGAGGCTTAAGTTGAAGCTTGTCTTCAAGCCTAAGAACGGTCTTCAACCTCTAATGCTATTATCTATGACTGAATAATTACAGCGGTTATATGGCACCAGAGTATGTAATGCATGGACAATTCTCAGTTAAGTCAGATGTTTTCAGTTTTGGCGTGATAATTTTAGAGATTATAAGTGGTAGAAAGAACAACTCTATGCGACAAGGGGAGAATGTAAAGGATCTCCTTAGCTATGTAAGTTTAAATAAGGAAGATTCATTACTAGCCGCATAAATTATAATAGAAATAAATCTTATAACTTCACATGTTGCATTTTTGCAGGCTTGGAAAAATTGGCAAGATAGAACGACTTTAAATTTGGTAGATCCCAAATTGATTGTGCGTTCATGTTTAGAACAAGACATAATGAGATGCATCCATATTGGAATGCTTTGTGTTCAAGAAAATGTAGCAGATAGACCAACTATGGCTTCAGTTATGTTGATGCTTAATAGCGGCTCTCTCAGTCTGGCAGTACCCAAAGAGCCTGCATTTCTTATATTCAACAACAATAGTGATTCAGAAACGCCATTGTATCGGGGGTATAACTCAGGTGTGACTCAGGCCAATCAATTAGAAAGTCAGTCTGTGAATGAGGCTTCCATAACTGAGTTATATGCTCGATAGTGTTACAAGTTACATATTTTTGGTTCCACTTGTATTTTTTAAACTATAAGATTTATTTATCATGTCAGCTAACACATCATTTGGGTTCTATTTCTATTTCTAGTTCCTTTTTTTTGATCTTTGCTCGATAGTGTTACAAGTTACCTTTTGATAATAAGGATGTTGAAATGATTTTCGTTCAAGCTCTTTGTTGTGAATCCAAGCTTTTGTGTTGAATTGATTGGAATAGGATAGTACATGCTTTCTTTTTTTTTTGAGTATGACCTCTGGTAAACGGATAGTTTTCTTGCATCTGTTTTAATGAAAGGATCGGTATGAATATGGCTAAAAACAAGGTATTCTAGACATAGAATTGACGGAGGAACGGATATATGTTGGACAAATTTAGACATGAGACATGACTTATACTCAATTCATTCACTCTAATACACTTTATATGTAATTTGGAGACATAACTCAGGGATACATTATACTGGTGTTGTTGAATACTGGTCCCTGTCAAATTCTAACAATAATCTTGTATCTAAAGAAATTATATAATATCAAAAATCGAATTGATCTTTTAATATTTATATTTTAAATAATAATTTAATTTTTTAAATTGCGTAATTTAAAATTAAAGTAAAAAGATAGATAGGTACCCGTTATGTATTGATAGGAGCTTAGTTATACATGATCTGTGATTTTGCACATTAAATAATAGTGTACCATAAATAATCTCCATCTAATGATATTACAAGATTTGAACTCAAAATGATACAGTTAAAAATAAAATAAAATTCTGGAGAAAGTGTGAATGACTATGACCATTTTCCACAATAACTTCTATTATTGTAACTATCACTAATACCATCATTATTATCTCTACCGTTGTTACTATGGTTATCATCATAACAGTTGTCACAATTTTTTCAAGTTAATTATCTATTTTCTGTCATTTTGAAACAAACATACTAATTTATTATTATTTTAAATTTATTTATCAAATTATGATATTTTTTTAAAATATATTTAACAATTACACTTTTAATGTTAATACATGATTTTTAAAAATTACAGTTTTTATATAAAAAAAAAGGTATAACAAATACGATTTTATTGAAGAGTAATACTCCCTCCGTTCCTAAATATCTGTTGTTTTGAATAATTTTTTGTGTTCCATAATATCTGTCGTTTAATGAAATTAAGGCATAATTAATATTTTTCTTCCAAATTTACCCTTATCTCTGTTTTTCAATAAGTGTTTAATAGATTAAGTGTAGGGTAGTAGTGTATTTCATATTTTTTTTTCCCAATACGTATTAAATAGAAATATTTTAGTCTTGTGCAATTAGTTTTTACTCATATTAAAGTTATTTAATAATTTCCTTAATTTCTGTGTAAAAATCTTAAATGACAGATATTTAGGAACAGACGGAGTATTATTTGGACCTAAAAATTTAACCTAATTTATTGACATAATGATGTGGTTTCAGCAGAATCATTAGATTAACATTAAATTTTAATATTTGATGAATCTCATAATCAATCCAAAAATTATAATAAATTAAATTAATAAATTAGGTTCCAATAATATTGCTCTTTATTGAAACCATGCACGTATATTAACCACACTTCTTATAATCGGTGCCATATCTCTCATTGCTGGTTTCTTGTGTCAGAGATAACTATCACCAAAAATGTCTCTCTTCCCATTTATTCTCTCTCTTCTGTTCTTCTCTCTCCCCCAAACAAAAGACCGACAACTCACCTAACACTTGACTAGATGCTAGAAAAAGGGTTTTTGAAATACACATTTTTCTTAAAAGTTGTCTTTAAAACACGCTTTTCTTAACATGCTTTCGTTTTGGTTGTGCCATTAAAAAGTAATTCCTCCGTTCTTAAATATTTATTATTTAAAATTTTTACACATGAATTAAAAAATTTATTAAATAACTTTAATATAAGTAAAAAATAATTACACAAGATTAAAATATTTTTATTTAATACGTATTTAGAAGGAAAAGAATATGAAAGATACTTAGTTTCCAACTAATCTAATGAGTTGAAAAGTTAAGAATAAATTTAAAAGAAAAAATATTAATTATACTTTGATTTAATTAAAAAACAAATATTATGAAACAAAAAAATTGTGTAAAACGATAGATATTTAAAAACAAAGAGAATATGTTTCAAGAATATATTTTTGTGTGAAAGTATATTTATCAAACACATTTTTAAAAAGTGTCATTATTTATTAAATAATTTTAAAATAAACAGGTCCCAGCAAGAATTGGGTCCTAGACGAGAATATAAATGGACCCATTGACAATTATATATATATTTGGACTCATTTTTTTTTTACGCACGTTATATCAAGTTTCATATTTTTAGTTGACATGTTAGAATTTGATCCAAACTATCTCGAAGTATTTTATTTTTTATTTATTTAGAATTAGCTTTTAATTAGAGTTTTATTGAATATAAGAGTTTTGACACATAAAGTATTCTACTTAATTTTAAATAGTTTAATTAAAGTTAAAATAGGATTGGTATTATTAGTTTTTTAATTGGTTTAAATTTCTTTCGTATTTAAACCTTTACTTATAATTGTACTTCATGAATGGTGACAGAAGCTTTTGGGGGTTGAAATTTTTTTTTTCGGCAGAACCTTTGCGGCTGTCCTATATTTGTCTTCTTCAGTTTTTTTTTTTTTTTTGGTTTCTTGATTTCTTCTTTTATTTTTCTTTTGATTAAATAATTACTTGTGTGAGATTATTTTTTGAGTACTTAATATTATTTTAAGAAGGGCAGCCGCAAACTCTCTTGTATAAGAATCTTTGGCTCGAGTTTGAAGCTGAATTGTGTTCCATTGGTTACACAGCTCGCTTTGAGCGAATGAAAATTGAGATGGACAAAAGCAAGCTAGACAATTCAAATTCCATAAATATGGCGGGGAAACAACTGCCAGAGGTTGTTCATGCTGGATTTGCAGGTAAGGGAAACTGTTGGCCATTTTCTCAATACCAACAAGAGGATGGATGCTTGGATGTGGGTGTGGGACCTCCTCATCTGCAGCATGACACTGGGAATGGTTGTGGAGACAAATTTGGGTCATACAGAGATGGTTCTGATCATGATAATGTCAGAGAGTTCCGCGTGTCTGCCAAGGATGACTCAGTATTTCAATCTTACAACAGTGGGCTGGCTACTCAACGTTCTTCTTGGCTTGGCTTGGGTTTTGAACCACAAAATTGAGTTCAAACATATATTAAATTTTAAGAAAAATTTTTATAACTAATTCAAAAATTAATTTGTTCGATCATAAACCTAATATTCATCATTAAATTTTAACAAACAATCGAAACTAATTTAAACTATAATTATTCCAATAAACTAGGTATATGGAGTACTTAACTTATCACAATAAAAATTTTCAAACTACCAAATCAAAATAATTTAATCTAATTATAATGGAGGACTACAAGTCCCAATTCTAATTCTACAAATAAAAATAAAACAAATGAGACGACCACAAATTCTAATTCCAATTCAACATATAAAAATAAAATACTAGAGAGGACTACAAACCCAAATATCAATTAAATATATAAAAAAATAAATCATAAAAGAGGACTATAAATCCCAATTTTATTTCAACATAGAAAAATAAATACAATACAATAAATCCTAGTTTCAATTCAATACATAAAAAATTAAATATAAGAGATGATTACAAGCCCCAATTTCATATTTTCAATTCAATATGTAACAAATAAAATACAACAGAGAGCTACAGGCGCTAATTTCAATTCAACATTTAAAAAATAAACTACAAAAGAGTACTACAAACCCTAATTTTCAATTCTAACATATAAACATAAAACAAAGAAGAGGACTACAAGCCCTAAATTTAGTTCAATGTATAAACATAAAACAAATGAAAGAGCTAACTTATTTTGTAGCATATTAGTTAAACTTTAAATGCCCAAATTTTTGATATCATATTTCATTGATATTTACAAGTAGAACTCATATATTTGTCAAAATAGTATAACTACCTATAAATTTTTTAAAAAAAATTCAGGGGGGACAAATTTATAATAAATTCTAAATTTTTTAAAATTATACATAGCCCTCACTGTGGATCCGCCACTGATGACAGCTTTTCATCAGATTGGGAACATGTGCTGAAGGACGAGTTTACATGGCGAAAATGATGGAATTATATCTACAAGAGTATTCCTGAAGATGGAAATAGTTTCTGTGTTTCGGTTTTATGCCTAGTGGACATGTAAAATCCCAACTGATGTAGGAGATTATCTATAAACTAGTCAAAAGCTTTTGATCACTTTGTTTTCAGGAGTTATCCGTACTTATAAATTACATTGCTCTATGTCAGTGCAAACTACATTGTTTCCTAATTGTGATCAGATGAAGAAGCTCCCTATTTCAGTTTAATTGATTGTCAAAAAATTCTACACGCTTTGGTTTGATCCATTGCAACGTAGCTAGCAATGAGTTTACTACAGATCCCCCAAAAAAAAAAAAAACCTGTTAAAGAACAGATTCCGTGTCTCTTGCCATCATACCATGAATATCAGAAGATACGGAGAGGCAAATTAAGTAAGTTTTTTTTTTTTTTTTAACTTGTATAAATTGGTACATCACTGGAGTAATCCGAATTCCAATTGTTAAAAGTCGAAGTCTTCTACGCACTACTTTTCCAATGAATGCCAGCTCATATTTTGCATTAAATCTGTAGGGGGACCTCTGACAACTTTTAGGGCTTCCCATACCTTCAGAGTAACCTCATATTCAACGCGCATGTAACTGATAAAAAAAAAAGGCGTATGTAGCGCCAGGATTTACTTCTTTTTACACATTTTTTAAAACGTCACTTGCAATAGTTTTTTCAAAAACATTATTTCAAATGAAGTTTTTTTAGTCACTAATCTAAGATAACTTCACTTAGATTAAATCAAAATCAAAATAATATTAGTATAAAACTTAGAAAATGTTCAACAAACTCAAAAACTCAATACCTTTTTATCCACCGGACATTAGCTTTGTACAGTATACAATGAGAGAAAAGAAAAAGAATTAAGAGAGTCAATTAAGAAAGATGATAAGTACACACAGAGAGGGCGTAGTATAATTTATTCTTAATTTTGAAGGTAATAACATAGAGACGGAGAGGCAATAGGTTAAGTAAATATAATAATATATTTATGTAAGATTGACAATTATACAAATGAAAAGGTCATTAATGAAAAAAGAGACGGTTGGCTGTAAAAATTTATCTTTAACTTAAATATAATGGAAAAACTGACAAGTTTTCTATATTTGTTTTGAGAATCAATTTTACATCTTTTCAATGGACCATTTGTAGTTAAAACTGGAGCTGAGTCTTCTTGAATGGACTTATAATAACTTAAGTTCATTAAGAAAATTTATTTGGTGATAAGTCTATTTTTTATCTTACAAATAAGTATTTAAGTCCATTATTTTCTAAAATTTCAAAAATATCCTTAACAGTGTTATTCTGTTCAATTATAAAAACCTTAAAGGCCTTGAAAGTAGTTTTAAATTAATTTCTTAAATTAAAAATTATTATCTCTTAATTCACTCATAAATTGAAATTAAAATTTATATTTCTCTCTTTCTCTCTCTCTCTCTCTCTTAAAGGAAGATCATTACTCCAGTACAATAAATTTTTCTCCTTAAATTTCATTTCTTCCTCTATAGCATCAAAAATCAGTAGGGTTTGAAACATCATCAACAACTATCATATCTTCTACTACGTTCTGATTTATCACGAACTTCTATGTCGTTAGTTTAAGAAAAAAATGTTGAAAAATTTGTTCAATGTGTTTTTTAGTTTGATTCCAAATCTTATTTTTTTTTTTTGATAAATAATCCCCAGCTTTTTTCAATATTTCATGCTACTAAGTTTTTTGTTGACCATGCTACTATTTTTTATTGAGCATATTATTATTTTTTCAGTGTTACTTTTTTAGATGCTAAAGAATTGGAGACTTCTTCCTCTGGTTATGGGTTTGAATGTTACTATTTTTATTTTCAATTTTTTTCAATATTCTATACTGTTTTTTTTTTTTGAACATGTTTCTGTTTTTGTTAAGCATGTTACTGTTTTTATTGAACATGTTACTAATTTTGTTGAGTATGCAACTATTTTTTTTTAAAATATTAATATTGAATGTTATTATTTTTTTTGTTTAAATGTTACTATTTTTTTTATTTTTAAATGATATTATTTTTTGTGTTTAAATGATAAATTTGTTTTTTGTATTTGAATGTTACTATTTTTTATTTTTAATGTTACTATATATATATATATATATATATATATATATATATATATATATATATATATATATATATATATACTAGTCATTACCCGTGCCTAAAGGCACTATGTTACTTATAAAATTTCAATACACAAATATAGAATGTTTGAATAATTTCAACACATAGCGATTAAATTAAAATTTCAACACACAAATTGTGTCAACGTTATTATTGTATTATTGTGATATCGATTAAGATAGACGACTACTTAAATAATAATTAATTTTTAAATAATGTTATTGGAACTAATATATTATGATATTAAATCTAATAGTGAGTCCCTACATTTAATAACGTCTACTATCCATCTAATGGTCACAAGCCATTGGGTTCCTACCAATTAAATTTTGAATTTTTTTTTGGTTAAGATATAAAATTAAATTTTGAATTAGTTGCAATTACTATTATTCTTAAATTTTTAGACACAGATGTCCAAATAATTTTTAGACATATTGCGTTCATTTTTCTAAATTATAGGATTATTTTCTTATTGCATAGAAATTAGCGTCATAATGTAATAAATTACAGGATAATAAATGAAAAACTGTTATTACCATTTTGTATATAAAAAAAAAGCATTTATTGATATCATTGATTTGTAATTCTTTTAAATGATAAATAATAATCATATTTAATTGTAAAATGATAACAATTAGTCTCATACAAAGTTTTAATTAATTTACTTTTATTTTTTGTTGGTTCATTCCATGCAAATCGTTTTTTAACTTTTTATGTTTAATGAATTTTTACGCATAATTATAGTAAATATGAATTTATGAACTTCTATGGTCAATTGAAAAAAAAAATGAAAATTTTTATTTACATCTAATTTGATGACATAATTCAATGCACCCCTTTGATTGAAAAGTAGACTTCATCTAACATTGAAATTTATAACTAACATAACAGTTATATTGAATTAAGTCATTGGTAACATTGATAAAAAAACAATTAAAAATTATCAATGTGCCCACCCTAAAGTATTTTTCTAGCTCTACCCTTGGTGGGATTTTATTTTTGTGTGGGATGTGTTGTAAGCCGTTTGGTTAAGTTTGATGAATTTAGATGAAATTTAGATTATTTAATTTAAAATGAATTCAATCTGAGTTGTTATTATGCTTTTTCAAATTTAAGATAGAGACGTATGAGAGATAGTAGTATAGAATCTTATGATAAGAAGCTCTTCATGGGCGGGAAAAGAAATTCAAGACTAACTGTAGACTGTTAGATCAAAATTTTTGAGATGATCTAAGCCGTCTTTTATGTTGGGATTACGTTGTCCGTTGAATGTGTTTATGTTTGTCTCAAAATGATCTGGACTTCTCTTTGTTTTTTAGATTCAAACTTCGTTCTACTTTATTATATATACATATAATAAATTGGATAGATTTTTTTGTTTTTAGCTTGTCGCAACTCAGATTGCTTGAAGAAATATTGATCCAACGATCCTAATGCAAAATTCTCCCCCCCTAATTTTTTGAACAAGATTTTCATTCCTTCCACAATTCTAAGATTTCTATCTCTCTTATAACTCTCTATTTCTCTCTATCTCATACTACACATTAATTAGGTTTTTAATTATGATTCTAATTAAAGATTATTTTTAAAAATTTCAAATAAGCAAATGAACCTTAAGTATAGATTCTTTGTGTTAAAACGAGTCGAATGATTATAATATATGTCATATTTTATATTGAAATAAAAATATTATAATATTCGAATTGTATAATAGACGAATAATATATATGTAATTTGTTATATATCTATCTACTAAGGGAGCTAACATTATTTGTTTTGAGTTTTTTGTGACTCAAATTGTTTTAAAATTATTGATCAAATGATCGAAATTCCTTCTCCAAATTTTTTTCCACCCAAAAATTATAAAA